GTGGGAGTAGCAATGGATTTCCAGAGGAAAAACCGCAGACTGCAGGAACCAGGAGCACCACTCAGGTGACTCTGAGGACACAGATAGACCTCCAAGTGGCCTCAGCAACCCTCTAAAAGGATGCAATTGACCAGCTGTCTGCAAGGAGTATCAATCTGTCCGTTCCCCACCATCCTGTCAGAGCTGAAGAAGCTTCTTGGATGAGAAGTGAAACATCTTCAAAAAAAGAAAAAACAAGAAAAAGTCCAGTTGCCTTCTGAAAAAGCACCTTTGGGATAACCATGACCTGGATGACTGAGAATGTCTACACACTTTAACTACAGTTATTGAGGCAGCAGATTTTTCTCTTGACTAAAGGCCTCACTGTGTTGGGAACACCTGAGTGGGAACTTGGGGGCAGACAGAAATCGAACTGGTACAGATTTCTGTTTCTAGAGGGAATCTAAATAAAGTGTGCTTTCAGGAAGAGCGAGATAGATTTCCAAGAAAAATGCCAGCATTAAAACGTCTCTGTTTTTTGTATTTCAGGAAATCTCTTCCTCTTCCAGGGGACGGATTTAAACTGGATTTCCTCAAACTTGGCTCTCTGCAGTTATGTTAGACCCAGCTTCTTTCACCCCCATTATCTAGGAAGAAAGAGGGTAGAACACATTTTTCCTCCATCTGGCAATTTCTGGTGAGCTATCCATTCATTTTGTCTTTTTTCCCAGAGCCTCTGGGTATTAACAGGGTTAATATCATTGCACAAGCAGAGTGAATGTAACGTCGTCACAAACAGTGAGATGAACATGCGAACAGGCAGTTTAATGGGATTAACTACATAGCCCACAAGCTGCACTTGACTGTGGATAGTTGATGTGGGAACCATTCCATGTCAGGTTATAGCAATAGCACTTAGACTTATATACCATTTTATAGTGCTTTACAGCCCTCTCCAAGCAGTTTACAGAGTCAGCATATTGCCCCCAACAATTTGGGTCCTCATTTTGCCCACCTTGGAAGGGTGGAAGGCTGAGTCAACCTTGAGCCTGGGTGAGATTTGAACTGCCAAATTTCAGGCAGCCAGCAGTCAGCTGAGGTTGTCTCTGATATTGTTACAGGTAGTCCTTGACTTACGACCATAATTGAGCCCAACATTTCTGCTGCTAAGAAAAATAGGTATTAAGTGAGTTTTGTCCCACTTTTTTAACTTTTCTTGCCACAGCGGTTAGGTGAATCACTGCAGTTAAGTTAGTCTGTTTACCCCATTGACTTTACTCGTCAGAAGATCACAAAAGGTGATCACATGACCCCAGGACACTGCAAAAGTTATACAGATGAGTCAGTTGCCCAAGAGTCTGAGTTTTGATCATGTGACCATGGGGATCCCTGCAACAGATGTAAGGGTGAAAAACAGTCATAAGTCACTTTTTTTCAGTGTAGCTGTAACTTCGAATGGTCACTAAACAAAGAGTTGTAAGTCAAGGACTACCTGTATCGACAAGACTTTTAACAGTGCTGGTTTACTACACTGCTGTATGGCTGGGAGACCAGTTCAGGTTGAGCTCCATATACTCCTGATCTCTTGGTATGTCTCCACCTGCTGGAACTACCTCTACCTGTTGTTCATGGCTGCATGGCTTCTTAAGGCACTCTTAAGCTGTGTATTGCTTCAACTTCCAGGAATGGAGACTCATAAGCTAAAGCAGTTTGTATGTTTCATCCATTCTCAGTGGTGAATTTTTAAAATGCTAAACCAGGTTCTTTCACTGAAAGAAAAAGAAAAAGAGATCAGATGGTTAGATTGTGTTGTTCTAGGCGCAATTTGGGAGAACATCAGGAGACCGAGGAGGACAGAAGAGGGGCATGATGTGCTGTGGTCCATGGGGTCACAGAGTTGAACATGTCTTAGCGACTGAACAACAACAGGTTCTTTCTTCTTAGAAAGGGCCCCCTGTTAACACCAAAAGAAGCTGGGCTCCTAGGACAGAAGAGCTGTGGAATCCTTATTTATTTATTTTTATTTTATTTGGTTTGTCAATTGCTTACAAGATAATAGGTATAAGTAAAAACAAAATTATGAATACATGGATACATATAAGAAAAATAAAAGAAACAATAGGACAGGGACGGTAGGCACGTTGGTGCGCTAATGCACGCCCCCTACAGACCTCTTAGGAAAGGGTGAGGTCAATAGTAGACAGTAAGGTTAAAGTTTTGGGGGTTTGGGGAAGAAACCACAGAGTCAGAGTATTCCAGACATTGACCACTCTGTTGTTGAAGTCGTATTTCCTGCAATCAAGTTTGGTGTGATTAACCTTGAGTTTGTATCTATTGTTTGCTCTTGTGTTGTTATGGTTGAAGCTGAAGTATTCATTGACAGGTAGGACATTGCAATGTATGATTTTATATACTAAGATAGAACCGAAGGCGGTGTAGTTCTAAGTTTTCTAGGTCTAGAATTTCGAGTCTGGTGGCATAAGGTATTCTGCAACAAGTAGAGGAGTGGAGAACTCTTCTTGTGAAATATTTCTGGACTTTCTCAACTGTGTTAATATCAGCTACGTAATGTGGGTTCCAGACTGATGAGCTGTATTCAAGTATTGGTCTAGCAAATGTTTTGTATGCTCTAGTTATTAGTGGAATATTACCAGAGAAAAAGCTATGTAAGATTAGGTTAACAACTTTTAATGCATTTTTGGCTATGTAGTTACAGTGGGCTCTAGCACTTAGGTCATTTGAGATGAGTACTCCAAGATCCTTGACAGAGTTTGGATCATCAACAAGGTCTTGACTATTCAGCCTGTATGTTATTTTCTGATTTTTTTTTGCCAATATGTAGGACAGAGCATTGATTTGTTGAGATTTGAAGTTGCCATTTGTTTGACCATTCTGATACATAGTCAAGGTCTTTTTGAAGGGTAGCAGCATTGTCGGTGGTGTTGAATATCTTTACATCATCAGCGAAGAGAACGCAATTGCTCTTAATATGATCACAGAGGTCATTTATGTAGAGTATGAAGAGAGTTGGTCCTAGAACACTGCCTTGGGGGACACCACTGTTGACAGGTACAGAATGTGATAGGACACTCCCAATTTTGACCATTTGTTGTCTGACAGGAATGCTTCTAACCAGTTATACAGGTTTCCAGAGATAACATAAGATTTTAGTTTTAGGAGTAGTTTGTCGTGTACCACTGAATCAAAGGCTTTACAGAAGTCTATGTAGATTGCATCTATTGCTTTGCCCTGATCGAGTTGTGTAGTCCATATGTTTTTGCAGTGTAAGAGTTGCAGGTTGCAGGATAGTTTTTTTCTGAAACCAAACCAGAGAGTAGGTGGTTTGTCTCTAAGTGGAGGATAATGGATTAGTTAATAATTGATTCCATTTTTATTATTTTTATTATTTTTATTATTGGAGGTATTGGAGTCCGCAGTGACTGAAACTCTTTGATTTCCGGGCAAGCCTTTACATGGAGACAGGGGAAGCGGGGATGAGTGAATGCAGACCTTTTCCCCAGGGTAGAAAGTTCTAGGTCCAGAGTTAGTCCAAACGAAGTGCAGAAGACTAGATCACAACTAGGAGAGATAATTCCATCCAAAAAGATGCTTGGAATTTTTACAGAAGATTTTCTAGGCAGGCCTAAACGTGCCAGTTTCTACTCGAGCAGCCTATGTGGCACATTGCCAGAGAGATGAGCTATTTTCTGGTGGGCATTTGTGCAAAGCTCTTATTATGTATTATCTGAGTAAGCCAGATCAATGGAACCGGACAGAACCACTCCAGATCTGAGCAAACGAATGCCAAGGTTCACTGGGTTTATGATTGTTGCCTAGTACGGGTAGTTCTTGACTTATGACCACAATTGAGGCCAAAATTTCCTTTGCTGAGCAAGACAGTTGTGAATTTTGCCCCATTCTACGAACTTTCTTGCTAGTTTGTTGTTAAGGGAGTCACAGCAGTTGTTAAGTCAGCAACACGGTTGTGAAGTGAATCCAGCTTCCCCATTGGCTTTGCTTGTCAGAAGGTCGCAAAAGGTGATCGCGTGGCGGTGAGACACTGCGACTGTCATAAATCTGAGTCAGTTGCTAAGCACCTGAATTTTGATCACGTGACCCTAGGGATGCTGCAATAGACATAAAGTGTGAAAAACGGCCAAAAGTTGCTTTTCTCATTGCTGTTGTAACGTCGTGTGGACACTGAATGAATGGTTGTTGTTAGGGATGTACACCCTAGCAGAACCTGTAGGGCAGTCAGGCAGGCAGGCAAATATATGAGATAAACGTTGTTGTAGTTTACACTCAGTAAAACAGATACACAGTGCTAGTTAAATAGTTTATTCCAGTAAGATTTATATGCATAGTCAAACAGTCCATATATCATACACTAGTTCAGTCCGTCCAGGGATTAATCAGTTGCAAAGTCCAGTGTCGAAAAAGAGAGGTCAGTAAACTTACTAATATCAGTCCAGTAATTTATCTCTTCGCAGTAGAGATAAGAAGAAGTAAAAAACTCTTTTCTTCCTTCAGCAACAGTAGCAGGAAAACACGCAGTTAACAATCCATCATCGTCAGCAAGGAATCCAGTAAACCAGCATTCAATTCAGGTTCTCTTGCTCCCTCTTATGGTGATTTACAGCCGCACCCAAAAATACATGCTTTGCATTTAAAGTGACACACACTATCATAGTCTATATATATTATTTTACCCAAACTAAGTTAGGTAACCTATGTTATTCCTAACAGTTCTAAGTTGAGGACTATCTGTATATCTTTGGCTCACCAACCAGCATCCCAAGAGATGGACCAGTAATGTACAACCCTGATTTGGTGGAGCAATTCCACTTCCTTGAAGCGAATGTTCCCAGCCCTTCCTTGGGTGGGAGCTGAGGGCTAGTCTCTTATGTTACTTTCTGGATCATGGCCAGTGACTCATTCACTAGAACAGTGGTGGCTAACCTTTTCCGGCTCCCATGCCAATAATTGTGTGCGCGCTCACTTGCGCCCACTTGTGTGTCAGCACCCAGAAGGCAATGCGTGCTGGAACCCCCACACGCCCCCTGCGCAAGCGCACACGATTGCCCCTCATGCGCAGTGCGTGTGTGCATGTGTGCGCAGTTTCCCCATGTGCCGCATGTCTTTGCGCATGCATGATTCCCCCCTTGCATACCGCGTGTCTGTGCATGCGTGCACGATTCCTCTCGCGTGCCGCACGTCTGTGCATGCATGCGAGATTCCCCTCGCACACTGTTCATCCCTGCACCTGTGCGCGCAATCCCTTCCTGCACAGCACATCCCTGCGCATGCATATGCATCTCCCACACACTCCCCCTCCGCCCCCTGCGCATGCGCACCAAATACCCGACAATTAGCTGTCGGGCAGCGGCATGTGCAGTGAGGCTCTTCCAGGCGACCTCTCTCATGCAGGGGGAAATGGCTCTGCGTGCCACTTCCGGCAGGCATGGCATAGGTTCGCCAACATGGCTAGAACGAGAACTTCTGGACTGATGTCATCTTACAAGTACATTCCGGAAGAGGTCCATTTAGCTTGCTTGCGGCCTCTCGGAGCCCGTAGGTAAGGCTCACACTGTCGACCAAACTTCCCCATCTGATTTTAATCTCCATCTGACCGCAGTTTGAGCTACCAGATGGTTATTCTCTTACCTTGAGCTCTAAACCCACCGGAGCCCCCTGCATTGCAACCTTCTCATAAGGAAGAGCTGCCTGGAGCCCTGGTGGGTGAGCTCATGTCTTCTCCTTGTCCAGGGGGCAATTATACACAAAGAACCAGTGTACAACAGTTCATTTAGTGATTGTTTGAAGTTAAACAGCGGCACTGAAAAAAAGTGATTTCTGACCGTTTGTTCTCATTTATGACCATTGCATCACCTCCATGGTCAAAATTTGTGATCAAAATTTGGACACTTGGCAACTGATTCATATTTATGACGGTTGCGTGATCATATCACCATTTGAGGTTTGGTGACAATGTCAATGGGGAAGCCAGAGATTCACTATAAGAGTTCTGGCAAGAAAGGTTGGAAAACAGGGCAAAATTCACTCAACAACCATCTCGCTTAGCAACAGAAATTTTGGGCTCAATTGTGGTCCTAAGTCGAGGACTACCTGCACTCACTCTTCATTCCATCGTAGTTGTTCAGCTTTGCTAACTTCAATTCACCATTTCTTCTCCGGAAGAGTCCACATCATGTCAGTTTTTCAGACTGTGTTAAATCTTCATTCTACACTACATAGTAAAATGTGCAATTTAGACAGGATTGTATGCTCCAAGATACTTGCAAAAAATTGTCTGCTTTTTTAGTCATATAATATTCGGTACCTGCAATAATA